CTCATTCCTGCTGATAAACGTCCAATAAAGTGATTTAAACCTCTTGATATGTTTCAAATATTCTCCTGTTTAAACAATCTGCAGTAATAAAATCAAATCGTTTTATTGAACTGAACTGTTCAGCGGCTGATTCTGCTGCAGTGGAGATTTTTTTAATTACAAAAAAAATCCAGAAATATTAATAAAATACTCCAAATGTAGGAGAATTTGTAATAAAATGGAAAAAAAGGAATACATTATTTGAAAAATATTATATAAAAAACTGTATAAATTATGTAATATATGTGTATTTATTTTAGTTACAATCATCCTCGTAATTATATTATTATTATTATTATTATTATTATTTATTTTTAAATGTCACAAGTTAATAGAATTTAAAAAAGAAACAAAAAAATCTAAAATATGAACAAAATGTTTTGATAAAATGATAAATTATCAACAAAAAAAAAATCAAATATCAGAAATAATAATATATGAACAGAATGTTTAAATGATGTTAATAAAATATTCCACAAATGTCTGAAATAATTAACACAGCATCTGGGAAAATGAATGGAGCAAAAAACATTTTAATAAAATGCAATGAAGTGAATAAAATAACAGCAAAATCTCTAAAATATAAAAAAAATTCTGACATATATTATTAAAACTCTTGACATTGAACTCTAGAAAATTATTTTAAAAATGTCATAAGAGACTCAAATGTAAAAAAGAAAAAAAAAGAAAAAAGAATTAATAACAAAATGTTTTGACAATGACTAGACTGCCCCAAAAATGTAAGAAAATTAATAAAATGTCTGAAAATATCGACAACATTTTTAAAAGATGTTAATGAAATGCTCCCAGCGTGCCTCTTGGTGGCGCTCCATCACCGTTAAACCCGTCTCCACTGAACGCTGAGTCCAAGTTGGACTTTAAGCATCTTATTGCAAATCATGTCCCAGAATCCACCAAGAAAATCACATTTGTTTTCAAAATCATTTGTCTTCCACCTGTTCAGCGCTCCAACCCGACACAGATACAGATACATCCAACCTACACCAGACGTTTCAGGATGTTGTTCAGTGTGTGCTGACGTCTGTGTTTCCTCTGCAGACAGCGAGGTGGAGGCTTCGTCTGAAGCTTCTCTCCTGCAGGATGGAGAAAACTCTGAGGACCAACCAGGACCCTCTGCAGTCAGGAGCAGAGTTATACGGAACACCAGGAGGTGGGACACGAGTTCATCACCTGCTGTAGACATCATCAGACGTATGTTTACGTGTTCACTGACCTGCACACTGAACCTCCACAGGTCCAAACTGAAAACCCGCATCCAGGAAAGTGAAGGAAAACCTCAGAGCTTCCAGGTAATCTGATTTCTACAAAGTCATTTATTAAAAATAGAAATTGTGGAGTAAGTGACTGCATTAGTGTCTGGAAGGTCCAGCCTCTGGTGGATCAGAACTCCTGGATAGAACCACACCATGAAGACTGAAGAACCCTCCGAGAACTCTGGAAAAGGTTGTTGAGAAGCATCAGTCAGGAGACGATACAAGAACATTTACAAGTTACTGAACATCTCTGGAGTCCAGTTAAATCCATCATTAAGGAATGGAAGGAAGATGGACCATGAGGAGATCTGACTGGAGCAGGACGTCCTCAGAGACTGAGTGACCGAGCAAGAAGGAGACTAGTGAGGGAGGCCACCAGGACTCCTATGACTCCTCTGAAGGAGTTACAAGAAGGAGACTAGTGAGGGAGGCCACCAGGACTGAGACTTGGAGAAGATTAGTTTGGTTTAAATGGTTTAAAGACAACCAGGTGAAGTTCTGGAGGTCCAGTCAGAGTCCAGACCTCAGTCCACCTGAGCAGAACTCTTCACTCCTGATCCCTGTGGAACCTGACAGAGTCTGAACAGTTTTATCAGAATGAGGTGAAGCTGCAGCGTCCAGATGTTCAGACTGATGGAGACCAACAGGATCCATGATGGAGCTGAAGGTTCATCTCCTAAACACTGACCTGAGGGGGCAGATGCTGGTTCCATCACTGATGTTATCGACAGAAAGTCTTTGTTAGTTGTTGTTCTGGTGTTTTATTCCTCCTCTGTCCCACAGATTGCCATCAACATCACCGAGGCGAGGCAGCTGGTCGGGGAAAACATCGACCCGAGCGTGGTGATCGAGATCGGCGACGAGAAGAAACAGACGACGGTCAAAGAAGGAACCAACGCTCCCTTTTACAACGAGGTAGCTGAGAAACTCACCTGAGAGATGGATCCTGGATCCAGTCAGCTCACTGCTCACCGTCCTGCTCTTTTCTCTCCGTCAGTATTTCGTGTTCGACTTCTTCGCCCACAAAGAGGTCTTCTTCGACAAAGTCATCAAGCTGACGGTGGGTGAACGACGACACAAATGATCATCTCAGGAGGTCAGCGTCTTCTGTCAGCGTGGCTGTGAGAGCTTCAGAGGGTTTAAAGCTCTTTGTCCTTTTGTTATCGTTCTCTGTGCAGGTGATGCATTCGAAGATGTTGAGGAGTTTCTGCGTGGGATCCTTCAAGCTGGATGTTTGGACGGTCTACAGACAGCCAGGTATCTCACCGTCCTCATCGAGTCGCCTGTTTTGGCCGTTTGACGTCTCGTTTTGTCTGATTGTTCTTCTGTCTCCTCATTTTTTTGTCCCTCACTTTGGTTTTGTGTCTAATTTTAGTTTCAGGTCTTGTTCTGGTTGTTTGTGACGTGTCTGTCTGTCAGTTTCCTCTTTTGTCGTCTTGTTTCTTTTATTTTGTGTGTTGTTTACCAAACCATAAAGAGACTAGTTAGAGGAGACCACAAAGACACCTGTGATTCTCCTCTTAAGGAGGTACAGGAAGGAGACGAGTGAAGGAGGCTACCAAGACTCCTGTGACTGTTCTGAAGAACCTACATGATGTTAAACTCTTTCCAGCCTCTCCAGACTTGGTCCCTCTGCTCTGCTCATCAGATGTTTCATCGTGCTGCATGTGTCTGCCTCCAGGTCACCAGTTCATCAACAAGTGGGCGATGTTGACCAACCCCGGCGACATCAGCACCGGCGTCAAAGGTTACGTCAAGTGTGACATCAGCGTGTCGGCGAAGGGCGACGCCATGCAGCCGGGCCAGAAGGCGAGCGACGCCGAGGAGCAGATAGACAAGTAGATACATGCATACATCCATATAGAACATCCGTCTTCCACAGCTCATTTAATCCTGAACAGAACCTGATCTGGGCCAGGCTAGCTCTGCAGCATCAGTTACCATGGAGATCTAGCAGGTTGAAGGAGACACCTCGGTGATACTGAAAATACCTGCTGACCCACAAATGTCTGGTTCTCCTCATGTTCCCCGTTTCATCCTCAGGAACCTGCTGATTCCGGAGGGTTTCCCCGCCGAGCGTCCCTGGGCCCGGTTCTGTGTGAAGGTGTACCGGGCCGAAGGTCTTCCCCGGAACAACTCCAGCATCATGGCCAACGTCACCAAGGCCTTCATCGGGGACAACACGGCGCTGATCGACCCGTACGTGGTGGTCAGCTTCTTCAGACAAGTGGTGGGTTCCTTCACCGGTTCCACCTGAAACCTGTTTGTTCATCATGAGCCTGAATCGTTCTTTAATCTCCTGCAGGGTCGGACGTCAACGCAGAAGTCCACAGCCGACCCGGTTTGGAACGAACAGATCGTCTTCACGGAGATGTTTCCTCCACTGTGTCAGAGGCTGAAGATCCAGGTGGTTGTTTAGGACGAGAAGCTCAATAAACAGGAACCGTAAATAATGTCATAAAAAATCAGCAGGTTTAAAAATGATTAATGATTCATTTGTTCACAGTGAGTGACTGTAGCAGAACACCATCCTTCACTGGATTCAAATGAGCCAAAAACGATATTATTTCAATGTTTTCTGTATTTGAAAGACAAAATATTCATGTTCAAAACTGAAAAATGGTCAATAATGTTTTATTTTACAGATGTTCCCTGTTTTGCTTAATTGCAGATGTTAACGAATGAAGTCACATGAAAAGAAAAAAAGAAAAAAGAAACGATTTACGTGCAAAAAATAACCAATAAAATTACAAGTAAAAAGCATTTATTTACAGGTTGGCCACAAAAATACACAATTTTTAATTAAGAAAATGACAAAAAACAATATTATTTTTTTTACTAATTTTTAATATTAGATTGTTTTAAATTTAAAAAAGACATATATATATTCAAGATGGAAAAATGGTCCATATTTTTAGTTATTTTACGCTGAAAAAATGTTGTTTTTTGGTTAAAACTGTAGATAATGAAACGTTTTTTTGTCTTTAAATCAGCTGAAAACGTGATTATTTTTCAGATACTTGTTGCTGTTATCAGGGATTGGTGACAGAGTTGTAGTTTATGATGTATTTAATGTGTCATCGTGTCTGGATGCTCCTCTCAGGTGTGGGATGAAGGCAGCATGAGTGACGTTGCCATAGGAACGCATCACTTCGACCTGAGGCGGATCTCCAACGAGCAGGACGGCGACAGAGGTGAGGAGGAGGCGGCAGGTGAGCAGGAGGCTGAGCAGGACTCTGACGCTGACTCTGGTTTCTTCTCCTTCTTCAGGGTTCCTGCCGACCTTCGGCCCGGCCTGGATCAACCTGTACGGCTCGGCCCGGAACTTCTCCCTGGGCGACGACACCGGGGAGCTGAACGAGGGCATCGGGGAGGGCGTGTCCTACAGGTGGGCCAATCAGCTCTCACATGTCCTCGTTAGGAGCCAGACAGGTGGAGCGCTCGTTAACTCACCTGTTGTTCTGCCGTCAGAGGGCGGGTCTACCTGGAGCTGGCCGTGGAGATCCTCTCAGGAGGAACCGGATCAGAGTCCAAGCTCAGCCGGATGGTCAAACCTGTGAAGGACGTGAAAGCAGGAAAAGCTGGAGGGAAGGAGGTGAAGGCAGCAGCCGGAGGAGGAGGAGGAGGAGGAGGAGGAGGTGAAGAGGAGAAAGGAAAAGGTGCAGCAGCAGAAGTTCTGCCTGTCGAGTCTCCGCCGGCGGTGAGGAAACAGAAACATGGAGGATTTAAAAATCAGAAATGTTTGTCTGATGGATGGTGTTGAAAATAAAAGAGCGTGAACCTGTTTGTGTGCAGCTGGATGCAGACAACAAGGAGAGCTTCCTGCTGTTCGGAGTTCTGTTGGAAGCCACCATGATTGACCGCAAGATCGGAGACCGACCAATCAGCTTCGAGTTCTCTCTGGGTGAGTCCCTGCAGGTTCTCCTGTATTTAGGTTCTACCTGTTGTTTACTTTCTCCTCCTGCATCACGTCCTGCTGCTGTTCTCTCAGGTAACTACGGTAACGTGTTGGAGTCCGTAGCTCCGCCCACCATCGCCAGTCCGGCCCTGTCTCTCCGCAGAAGAGAGCTGGACCTCCCGGACGCCAACATGGCGTCTTCCCCCGCCAGCCCGACCTCCCCGCTGCTGCCCAGAGAGCCTCAGGACGCCTCGACCAAGACCTCGAGGCCGACGACGTCCCCGGAGAAACCGCTGATCGTCGAAGGAAACCGGTCGGGTCACGTTGTTGGCTTTAACCTCAGCCCTTATTATTATTATTATGCTATAATGTTTGATCAATCACAAATCAAATAACCTGTAACGTGATGTTCTGTCACAGATTCGTGGTTTTAGCAGAGCTCTGGCAATAAGAACATCGTCCTGTTAGCGAAAGCCTCGTCTAAAGCTATGAACTCTGGTTGGAGGTCATGAACCTCGGTGCCCATTCATAGCTAAAACTCTTAACACTTTCTGACATACGTGTCCTTTGTCCTCTGTCTTATAAGATAATATCAGTCAATAATATCAATCAATTAATTAACATCTCTTACTACAACATTCAGTACTATGGATCAATAATCAGCTAATCAATAACACTAACCGGTCACAGGAACTCTTTCCTAGTTGATCCCAGTTTGTCTTTAAAACACATGAGTTCTGGTTGGAGGTCCTGAACCTCCTCAGAGTCTCTGTCATGGTCCTGTTTCTGCTAAACTCCCACAATGCTCTCTGCTGCCACCATGAGCTGTAGTCTGTAGATGCCTCCTCTGGTCTCTACAGCATTAAACAGTGAGAGGCTCCACCTGGTGGAACAACCAGGTACTGCAGCTGGTCTACGATATGTTTACTGACATCATGTAGCTAGCTCCACCTGAGTCGCACTGTGGAGGTCATAGATCTGGACGTGTGATGGATATCTAAAGTCTCCTGTGTATGTATTCAGGTACTACATGTATCTGCCGCTGGAGAAGCAGAAGCCGTGTGTTCACGTCGTGAGTCACTGGGAGGACAGAACCTACCGACTGTACAACTCCAACATGCTGGAGAACATCGCGGTTCTGTTTGTACGTGAACAAACCAAACTTACCTACAGCTTCACAGGAGCTCAGCTGCTGTTGGAGTAAAAGCGTCTCTGTGTGCCTTTAAATCTAAACTTGCGTGAACATGTTTTCTGTCCACGTTCTGCAGGAGGAAGGCGTCGCCAGCGCGGCCGAACTGCACAGGAAGTCCGATCCGTCGGCCGAGTCGCTGCTCAGAACCGTCCTGAGAGACTTCTGTCTGGACGCCAGGTACCAGCGTCACACATAAACCAGTGGAGGATTATTCTCATTAAACCGGTCGTCCAGATGTTTTCAGACTTTTATTGAACTTGTTGTGGTTTAAGTTCTGTTCTGCAGATAAAAGTTCAGACTTTTCCAAACTGAGCTCGAGTTTGTCACAGAAACCTTCAGTTACACACCTCACTGTAATGTCACTTTTATTTCTTTTTAAGTTTAATTTATTTTAGAATGTATTTTAAAATATATTTTCTGATGTTTTGATTTAAAAAACATTTAACATTAACATTTAACATTGATTATATTTTTATTTTTATTTACTTTATAATTTTAGGAGTATTTTTAATTTCATAAGTTAGGTTTTGAGATTTTTTTTCCTGCAGTGGTGATGATGAAACCTTAAAACTGAGAACAGCCTGTGAGCATCAGCACGTGACTCTGTTGTGTTGAATGCGTGTTGTGTTTAATGCGTGTTGTGTTTAATGTGTGTTGTGTTTAATGTGTGTTGTGTTTAATGTGTGTTGTGTTTAATGTGTGTTGTGTTTAATGCGTGTTGTGTTGAATGTGTGTTGTGTTAAATGCGTGTTGTGTTTAATATGTGTTGTGTTGCTCTGCAGGAGTTTCATTGCGGCAGCGGAGGCGAAGCTGAAGGCTGAGCTGAAGTCGAACTACTTGACTCAACTGGACAAGAAACGTCTGACGATGTGCAAACAGGAGCTGGTGAGAAAAATAAACGTCACTGGTTTGAAACACGCCGAGGATCTTTAAGTCTGACAGATTAATGCTGTGAAATATTTTTATTTCACTGAGCTTTAGTTTAAATCAGCAGACATTGATGTGTACTTCATCACTTTCAGAGTCGTCTTGTGCAGCCAGATCTTTGTTCACCTCGTAGAAACCAAGTTTGCAGCAAAGAGATGAGTTTAAAATATTGATCACAAGTGTGAGTAGCTGAATATCTACAGTATGCAGAGTCTCCAGTTCATACCGTGTTGGTAACAGCTGTGGACGCTCCAGGTTTTAACGTTGTTGTAAAAGAAATGATAAAAGAAAAGCTTTCTGCGTTTAACAGCAGCGTGTCGTTGCAGGAGACTATGATCGGAGAAGCTCAGTCCACCGTAGAGAAGAAGAGAAAAGCCGGAGGAGTCAAAGAGATGCTGCAGGAGGCGACGAAGCTCACGCAGAGACTTCGCTTCCTGGTGGAGGAGGTAGGACGAACCCCTGAACGCCGGCTCTGGTTGGTTCATTCACCTCCAGCGTCACGCTAACTCTTGTCATTGCAGCCTCAGCACACGGTCCCCGACTTGTTCGTCTGGCTGCTGAGCAACAACAAGCGAGTCGCCTACGCTCGGCTTCGAACCAGAGACCTGCTGTTCTCCAGCGTCCAGGAGGCCCAAGGAGTGGACTGTGGGAAGATCATAACACTGTTCCTGAAGGTGAACAAAACACACTGACGAGTGGTTTTCTACAAAAACTCCTCAAGATGACTCCAGTCATCAACCAGAAACCGTAAAACACTGAAAGAATGGTTGGATTTTAAATTTTACCACAGTCCTTGAACTACTCGTCTGGGGTGTGTGGTTCCACATCTGAGCTGAAACCTGTCATATTTATTCAAAATCACTTTATTCTACAGGTGTCATTTAAAAATTCTCCAACAATAAAGTGTTTGGATCAGATCCTGTAGAAACTAAAACGTCTTCCTTCTTGTTCCAACTGGCTCTCTGTGAGTGATTCGGGTGAACTGCAGGAAGTGTTTCCTCAGAGAGACGGAGAGGAAAATAAAACCTCCTGGATCAATGAGTAAATGCAGCACGGATCAGAACCAGAGAACAGAGGAGCCAGTTGGTGGAGATACATCCAGCTGATGGTGGAACATCTTTCTACATCTGATGAGCAGAGCAGAGAGAAGTCTGGAGACGTGGAGATAGTTCAACATCTGCAGGACGAGGAGACAAAATGACCAAAAAGAGACAAAAAATGACAAGAACTTTATAAAAAACAACAAAAATTAAAGCCGCAAGCGGTGATGGACGGGTCCTCGCCCTACACTTGTCGGCCTTCAC